TCTGTGGCTCGAATGGTTCTTGAGAAACTTCGAATAAAGCAGCGTCATGTTCAAGTGGATTTTGCAACTCAAAAAAAAAAACACGCAAATCTAAAACTTCTTGAATTCAAGCATGATGCCACTTTTTGCAACAACAAATTGAGCTACAGTGATTTTCATCTCAATGAATTCATCAAGTGAACGATAGCTAGGGTTCACACAAAATGCGAATTTTCTGCAGATTTTTTGATTGACGCGGTTCACCCAAAATTAGCCCATCGGCTCAAACATGACGCCGTGTTTTTGGTCATATCTCAAAAAGCATTTGAGCTAAAGCGCTCGTTTTCTTAGCGTTGGATGGAGGATGAGTAAAAGCGCCCAAGCTTTCGTAAAAAAATCAAAAGTACATCATTTTTATTTCATGCGATTTTAGCCAATTTGGTTCAGGGGTCCAAACATTACGCCCCTTTTTTGCTGATATTTTAAGAACCGTTCAAGTTAGGGCGATAGTTTTCACATCACTGGATAGAGGAATGAAAAACACAGTAAAACATTCTGAACGAAATCCTAAGCCCACTTTGAAGTCATCTTCAAACACTTTTCCCATTGTAACTGGCTTATCTAAAGTATAATCTTCATGTACACAAACAAGCGATTCCACTTTGGTTCGAACAATGACAATTATTGCAAGTTATCCTACTCTAGAAACCTAAATCATATTATTGCCAATGTACGCGTGATGAATTCTCTCCTATACGGAGCGGTAAAGCAGTTAATTTTTCTATTGTTGAAATGGTAATAAAAATCCTCACTACAAGCAGATTTTTCTGATAAGTCCCATGTTCTATTTATCATGTTACTAATTTACTCGTTATCCTTAATGAAGAAACAATTAACCTAGTGGCAAGGAACATACGCTTAATTATTTTTCGAGGAAACTGGTTGTCAAGATGATTAAGCGGTTGTTCACTAAATTTTTGCGCCATTTAATAGATTCCTAGATAAATCCAACTCCGAAGTGAGCTGTTCTAGCGATATTCGTTTAAATTGAGTCGTCGTCCATCGCTACATGCAATCCATTATTAGCTTTGTTTATGGGCGATTTAAAATATCATTGTTGGACTTATAAAGAAGCACTGAACAAGTCCAGTAATTCCAGGCAAAAATGAACTTTGCTAAATCAAACGCTGCTCGTTATCTGGCCTACATTGGCAATAAACCCGTGTAATTACCATATATTCCGAAATCAAATAAAATGGCCGAACTTTTTCGTGAATAATTCCATCGAATATCGGTCTCAATATCTAAATAGCCACTTATGGCTATATCGAAAACAGGACAAAAGTAAATTAGGCCCTTCGGTCAGTAAAAATTCGCTTCGGTCAGATATAGGTTTTATTACATGTATTATGGCCTCTTAATGCTTTTTATTAAGCGATTATATAGGCCGGGTATCAATATTTATGTGATGAGTTACCTATATCGGGCTCCCCATAACCCGCAGATATCACATGAAATATTGTGGATGAAGGGAAATAAAAGCGAAAGGCTACAGAGAACTGAACAGTATAAGGAATAAACACGTAGTTTATATGAAATCGGGCAATTAACAATTGAAAACAGAAGTTGCGTAGAAGAAAAGAAAACACTCACATAGAGGATATTTTATTTATATACTTGTGTATGTGAAAGCGGCTCACAAAGAGCAACATTTCTTAGGCCTAACGTTTGATCTCGTGTCACCTTGCAATTGATTTGCATCTAATAAGTGAGTGAAAAGAAACGCGCCGTTAACTTTATTTTATATTTACTCTTTGCCACGTTCTGCCTTTTGAGCCGACATAAATTTGTGTTCTCGAACACAATTCGATTACGCGATATCGCACAACCAAATTTAAATTTCAATGGGGCGAATTTATTCGGGCCTGTCCTATCTTGGTCTTATTTTTAGCTTGAGTATTGTGTAAGACCCTTATTAGGTAGCTGTATTAAGATAAAAGCCCTAGTAAGGTTTCGGGGGTTTATTGTATTCGCGTTTTAGTCCGACAGATAAGCAGGATTTCGAGGTTCGTGTGGATTTTCAAGAAATGCTCGCAAAATAGAATTTTTGTTTGATGAGTAGCGTTTTTTCGGATGGCACTGATTTCGGATCGAGCCGTCGGAGCATTGAATGTGGATCTAACACAACATATCGAGCTGAAAATACTCAAAGTTTGCATTTCAGAATACCACTTTTTCTCATCTTGTAAAACAGGATCGCAACCAGGGTTGTAGTTTTTCTTTGATAGCATTTACGCTGCTCGCATGTGCAGATCTGTGGATTTTCGAATGCTGTAGAATTTTCTCGGGATATAATAAGTAACTTATTCACTAATAACAGCGCTTTTTCATTGACTGAGAAAAATGCAACGTTCGGTATCATGGAGGCAGCAATGGAAAGGCCGAGCAAAATAAACTTTGGCCCTAAAACAACTTTCTACGCCAACTCTCCGGGCTTTTTAGAAGTTTTCGAATTTCTGAAAAATGTTGATCACTGACCGAGTTACAGTTACATATGGGGGACCGCCCCTTTGCATTCGCCCTTGCGGCCGATGCACTTATGGGTACATTCGTTCATTGATCGATGAGAAACCGATGAGAAAATCTGAAAAAATTAATCGCCGAACTTGAAATGGGAAAAAGGCAATTGTAAAAACAGGAGGGTCAGCTTAATTATAATCCACAGACCGCTTCTAGGAGTGCCCTTCTGATTTTAATTTGAAGCCCTGCGTCGAAAAAAAGCCATTGTACATATTTAGAATACAAGTGTTCTCGACAAGGCGGCCAGGGAGTGGCGTAATTTGTTTAGATAGAAAGGGTCCCTGGCTGCCGTGTGAAAGGGTTATAACACAGTAGCAATCAAACTTTCAGATTATTCAAGACCGAATTACGAATTTCATTCAAATGGAAATAAACTCGCACTACGTGATCTTGATAATTTGATATCTGCTCGAGTTTCTCAGATATAGTTCCAGCAGGATGTGACTTTATTTCACCCTGAAATAAGATTGCATGATTATGTAACCGAATTATACTGGGCGGTTCGAATGTTCGTCCAGCCAAAGTTGCATCTGGTTGGGAAAAACAACTCAAACAATTAACCAATGTAGCAATTGCAATGGGAAAGGGTTTGGTCTTTCCAGTGGTGGGTAAATTTGCTTTTTATCTGGGCTGGATTCGGCAGTATACATTTTTGAAAAAGTGTCGAAGCACTCAATCAAGAGGTGCGTAATCAGATGTTGAAATTCACCAAAAATCGGCCAATTTATTGATTGCAGAGAAAATGTTGACTATGATGGAAGAGAGTGCAT